CACATTGTTCAAGGGTCAACTGTATTTCCTTGTTCTTTCTACTGAAAAGGCCAAGAGGCAAAGTCATCAGTAGCAGTGAGCCTACCCAGCACCTAGGTTTCTAAATACAGCAGTACCCACTTATCCACAGGATAAGTTCCAGACCCCCCAGTGGATGCCTGACACCATGGATAGTACCGAACCATATGCATACTATGTTTTTTCCTATACATACATACCTATGATAAAATTTAGTTTATACATTAGTCACAGTAAGAGATTAACAAAAACTAATAACAAAATAGAACAATTGTAATGTACTCTAATAAAAGTTATGTGAATGTGGTCTCCCTCTCTCTCTCAAAATATCTTACTGTACTATACTCATCCTTCCCCCTTCTTGTGACAATGTGAGATGATAAAATGGCTACGTGATGAGATGGAAAAAGGGGAATCACCCAGGCATTGTAACGTAGCGTTAGGCTACTACTGACCTCCTGGCAATCCGTCAGCGGGATCATCTGCTTCTGAACTCTATTTGATTAGGGTAAAGGAAACCGTGGAAAGCAAAGAAGGGGGGACTGCTGTACCAATCCCCACTGACAACCACCAGGGCTCCTTGAAAATTACTGATTCCAGCCAGGGCTGGAACCAAGGAAAGTACAGGCTGAACCTGGGACATTTCTGTACTCCTACATAGATTGGGTACACAATTGTCCATACACACACACACATAAATAATAATTAAGAGATTTAGAAACTGAAGTGATTTCCAAAATGTCTTGTTAAGCAAAAACACAAGGCACAGAAGACTATAATATGCTACCCTTTGCATAAGAGAAAGGTAATTTTTTTTTTCCAAAAAGAAACATAGATGGGGAGCCTGGGTGGCTGAGTCGGTTAAGTGTCCTAATTCAGCTCAGATCATGATCTCACGACCTTTGAGTTTGAGCCCCGTGTCAGGCTCTGTGCTGACATAGCTCAGAGATTGGAACCTGCTTCGGATTCTGTGTCTCCCTCTCTCTCTCTGCCCCTCCCCCGCTCACACTGTCTCTTTCTCTCTCTCTCTCAAAAAATTTTTTTTAAACAAAACACAGCAAAGAGTGTTCAAACACTAATGGGGATATGTCACAAGGACACAGGGGCCAGCTTGAATAAACTCTCATTTTGAACATTAAAATCAATAATGACAGGAATGGATTAAAACACATTTAACAACAACAAAAAATTAATGAGTCCATACAGAGTCTAAACAAATATAGATGAGTGGGAAGAGAAGAGAAAGATTTTCTTTCCAGAAGAATGTAGAAATAAGGATAGAAATAGAAAATCACCATTTTAAAACCACCATAGTAATAATTGATTCAACCAAGAACCACCAGTGCATGCTAAAACCATTGGGTGAAAGATTGCTAAGGAACAGGATACAAAGAAATCTGATACTACCTTGAGTAACTGATCAAACATAGCATCACCAATAAAGGGACTAACTGATATCAGGTGCCTCCTAATGTGATAGGCTGATAAAGGATATCAGTACTCCTATGCAGTACTCCTGCCAAAAAACTTCACCTGAATATAATGAAGAAACAATCAGGCAAATCCAAGGTGAAGCACATTCTAAAATCAAATTGGTCCAGATTTCTATGCTATCAATGTCATAAGGGACACAAAAAGCAGCTAAAGAACTCACGTAGAATAAAGGAAACTAAAGAGACCTGATGACTAAATGCAATGCATTATCTCTGATTGAATCCTAGGCCTGGAAATAAAAATAATACAGGGAGAATTGGGGAAGTTTTAATACAGTCTGCATGTTAGATAATAGTATTCACTGTCATTTTCCTGAGTGTGATAATTATATTGCAGTTACGTATGCAAATGTCCTTGTTCTTAGGGGACACAGTAATTTATGTCAATTGTCATCATATCTCCAAGTATCTTTTAAATAATTCAGAGGAAAAGAGGGATGAAACAGATGTGGTAAATGTTAAAGACTGGTTAATCTAGGGAAAAGTGTATGGGTGTTCACAGTCCTATTTTTGCAATTTTTCTGTAGGGTGGAAAATTTTCAAAATAAAAGTGTGGGAGGAAAAAATGTGTGGGAGTTTACATCAAAAATATTTCTGCAACTAAAGATTTACTAATGGAAACCTCCTTATTTCAAACAATTGCTATACATTTAGAAAGATACAAACTGGATTCAAGCAAAAGACAGAAGCCATAGACACACACACAAAATATTGCTAGATGTGACTATCGAAAAATGTAAATCATCTCTACATCAAAAACATAGAAATAAAAAATAGTAATAAACTAGGGGAAAATATAGAACAGGAAAAAATGGCTGCTATCCTTGCTATATACAGTCCCTCTTATAATTAGTAAGAAAAATAGACACTTCTAAAAGAATGGGTGAATATTCCCAAAAGGTATGAAGAAGTAATTCAATAAAGAAAAAAAATTCAGGGGTGCCTGGGTGGCGCAGTCGGTTAAGCGTCCGACTTCAGCCAGGTCACGATCTCGCGGTCCGTGAGTTCGAGCCCCGCATCAGGCTCTGGGCTGATGGCTCGGAGCCTGGAGCCTGTTTCCGATTCTGTGTCTCCCTCTCTCTCTGCCCCTCCCCCTTTCATGCTCTGTCTCTCTCTGTCCCAAAAATAAATAAAAAATGTTGAAAAAAAATTAAAAAAAAAAAGAAAAGAAAAAAAATTCAATGGCCAATATATACTTTTTTTTTTTTTTTTTTTTTTTTTTGGAGACAGAGACAGAGAGCAAGCAGGGAAGGACAAAGAGAGAGAAAGAGAGACAGGATCCCCAGCAGGAACCCCACCGGCAGCACAGAGCCTGACACGGAACTAGAACCTAAGAACCATGAGATCATGACCCCAGCTCAGAAGCTCAACTGACTGAGCTTCTGACTCAGAAGCTCAACTGACTGAGTCCCCCAGGCGCCCTTTAATCTTTTTTTTAAATATAATTTATTGTCAAATTGGCTTACATACAACACCCAGTGCTCATCCCAACAAGTGCCCTCTTCAATGCCCATCACACACTTTTCCATAGTCATCAAAGGAATATGAATTAAAACAACACTGAGTGCTTTTTGTTCTGTTTCGCTTTCTTTGATGATTAGTGAAGATTAAAAAGAACAATGCTACCCAGTATTCAAAGGGTATGGGGGAACAAGCAATTTTCTACTTTGTTTACAAACCTTTTAGATCACTTTGACAACCTGTATCCAAAAGCCTTGGAGCACCTGGGTGGCTCAGTCGGTTATGCATCTGACCCTGGCTCAGGTCATGATCTTGAGGAGGTCCAAGAGCTCGAGTCCCATGGAGCCCCGAGTCAAGCCTGGGGTCAGGCCCTGTGCTGACAGGTCAGTGCCTGGTGCCTGCTTCAGATTCTGTCTCTCTCTCTCTCTCCACCCCTCCCCTGCTTGTGCTCTCTCTCTCTCTCTCAAAAAATAAACATTAAAAAATTTTTAATTAAAAAAAAAGCCTTAACATTTTACACACCTTTTGGCCCAGTGATTCCACTTTTGAGGTTCATCCCAGGGCTTATCCTCACGAAACAGTCAAATACATGTAGAAGGATGTTCAGTGCTGTATTTTGATTAAAGCCATGATATCGAAACTATCTACAATGTCTAACAATGGAGGGAAAAGTGAACAAATTATGGTACATCCATACAGCAGGATACTACATTAACATTAAAAACAATGATGTGGATATAATTGTGCAGAAAGGTGCTCATAATTTTCAATGAAGAGAAGCAAGTTAAAAACAGCATGTCAAATATGGTCCTATTTTTGTATAAATATACTTACATTTGCATAAAAAGTCTAGAGGGACATTCTCCATAATTTGTCTAAGTGGTTTTTGGGAAGAAGACTGTTATGGATACTTTTTTCCTTCTTTTGATTTCTGTATTTTCTAAAGTTTTTACAATGAAAATATTGCTATTATAATTACAATTTTCTTTAAAAATACAGATATCTTTCAAAAGATCACAGGTTAACACTCTCTACTGTATCCCCTAACCCTGGAATAGTACCTGGCATGTGATATGTGTATAAAAAATATTTGTTGAATGAATAATAAAAGAATCTGGCTCAACTCACAGGTATGGCCAAAGTGTATATTTTACAGCAAAATCAACCACGGGCTTAGAGTCACAAGGCTGGGGTTCCAGTCCTGACTCCTGCTTTAGTTGTGTGGCCATGATTATAATCCCTTAATCTCTTAGTTTCAACTTCCTTATTTGAGATATGGGGGACATTAAACATACATCCTTTAGGAGACTGTTATAAGAACTGATATTATAAATGAAATACCTTGCAAAGTGCAGAGGCCTACGTGTGTATTAGGTATGATGACTGTATAATAAACCCTGTAAGTGTGGAGAGGTATATCACATAAAGGAGGAGCCTAGACAATGTGGGTTTAATCAGAGAAGACTTCTTAGAAGATGTGAGATCTCAAAGGAGACAATGAATGTGGAAGGTATGCCAAAAAGTAAAGTTTTGACGAATGAAGAGCATTTGGAAAGAAGATAAAGATACATGTTGGAAGGAGCATGGATCCCCTGGCTCAGGGGGAGAAGGGCTTCTGGTGAGCTCTGAGTACAGGTAAGGCAACATTCCAGCTGTTGTCTGCTCGAGTTAGGAAACTTTCTGGAGGAGGTGATCTGAATAATGGATGAGACCATGGCTCTCTAGGGCAAACCTTCAGGGCCCTCGTTGGGCCCTGTGGATGGTAAACAGGTGTTGCGTGAGAAAACTGAGGGCCAGAGACATAAAACTGCTTTCTTTCTTGGGCTACAAAGCACAGCTGAACTGACACCCAGATGTCCTGATGTCCACTTCAAACTCTAAACTGCAAAGTGCACCCAGGGTGATTATTATTTCTGTGGTTATCATCATGGGTGTACCAGATTATAATTTTACTGGTAAACAGGATCCGTATCAGTGTAATATTGCCTGCAGTGAATTCAGCATAGTAAACTTGCAAACCTATACCATAAAGACTTTTGTATAGTGAGGATGACTATGGTATTGACAGTGAACCTGTAACAAAGGACCAATGAGTATCTGTCAAGTGATTGGTGGTCTGGCCTTTTTTGCATTTTTCTTTTTTGCATATTTCTGGAGAAAACTGAGCCACTGCCTTGGAAACTCTGACCAGTGACCTGGTAGCCCAAGAACTTGCCCAGCTGGCTTTGTGGAAGTCCAACAAAGCTTTCTACCCACTAGCCTTGAGTTTTCTAATTTCTGGAATCCCTCCTCCTCTGAGTTCTTTTCTATAGATAATACTTTCTCATGCTCCATACCTGGATAAAGTGCCCTTCATATTCGAAGAAAAGCAGTGGCCACATGATACTGATGATGGAGGGGAAGAGTTTCTTCAGAGGGGTCTGGAGAAAGAGAGACAGAAAGAGGAACAGAAGAAGATCTCCAGGAAGGCCTTGCTGTAACTGCCACCCAAGGTTCCCTCCTAAAGGCTGGACCCTCACCGGCAGGGACTGCCCCACAGTGCTGTGTGCCAAGGCCTGGATGTTGGCAGTCTTCTCTTTCACCTGCTCCACCAGCGTCTGCACCTCCATGAGGTTGTCTAGAAGGGGAGGGCACCGGAGTTGAAAGGCTGGCTATTCAGCTGTTCTTCCTGTTACCCTGGGGTCCAGTCAGGATATATGCCCCTGTCCCTGCCTCTGAGCAAGTGCCTTAAGATCCAGAAAAACGACAGTTCCTGAGTCACTCCACTGCCTCCATCTACTCACCCCACTGCTCCCATCTTCCCTCTTACCATCCAGGGTAAAAATGAAGACCACAGTGTCAATTTCTGTGAGGGATGGCAAGATGGAAGTCAGGAAGTCCTCCTGGGAGAAGGAGAACTGGGGATCCTGCGCAGAGGAAGATGAGAGATCCCCCCATGAAAAACTCCAGCACATTGGCTTGGAGACTGCAGAGAGCCTCAGAGAACCTTTAATACAGTGTTCTTGTATATAGATGAAAGGTTCAAGGAGGTAGTGTTTTGCCCAAGATGATGCAGCAAGTTGAGGGAAGAGCATGGGACTAGAGCCAGCTTTAGAGGGCGAATCCAGAGCCTTCCACCCTCCCTGTGCTTCCCCAAAGACTCCTGACCTCTAACCCATATTCTCTTCTCTGGATGACTACCATGTTGTACTCCCCGACCTGTCTCCACCATTCCTTACCTCCCACTCCCTGCTCACCAGTCACCTTCACAACCTCTCCCACATCCCATCATCCTCCCACCTGGTTGATGAGCTCAGCCTTCTGGTTAAACATATCACTGTGATCACCAATGAGAAAGCCACGGACATCTCGGAAATCTGGAAAGTTTAAGGAGTAAGGAAAGTTTAAGGAGTAAGTTTAAGGAAAGTAAGAGAGGAGTAATGGGCTTTATGGGAAAGAAAGGTCCCAGACTTGGGGGGGGGGCAGATGTTAATGGGGCTTGGAGGAAAGTGGCAAGTGGGGTGTAGGGTGAGGTGTAGCACGCATGAGAGGCCACAACTAAAGCAGGGCTGGGAACTGAGGGACCAAGGCCGGAGTAGGGGCTCAAAGGAAAGAGTATTTGACTGAAATGCCTATTCAGATAGAAAAGAATGGACATTGAATGAGGAACCCTCATGGGTTGGGAGTAGGAAAGTGTTTTGATAGCAGACCAACTGGTTTGCATCAGGAGGAACCAGGAAGAGAGTCTGGCCTGGGGTTCCACCAGCACCAAAGGTGTGGATGCACTCCACTCCATCCATGATGGCAATGATGCCAAGGGTCTGCCAACCAACCAGGTACACTCAGCCTTTTTTCTCCAGGCTGAGAATGGGCCAGAGGTCAAGACATGAGAGATCACAGTAAAAAAAAAAAAAAAAAGAAAGAAAGAAAAACCAGGGATCAGAGAAAGATGCGTATGTCAGAGCACAGGAATAAACCAACACAAAGCCTGCCATGACCCTCCACCATGCGGATCTGCTACCCTCACCATGTTAACATGTGTTCTAAGGACATTCCCCATCCACACCACTTCCCCCCTCCAAACACATTTCCACACACCTGGTGCTGGCTTGCTTCATCAGGGTGGCGCTCTTAGGGCTTGGGCTATAGGTCACCTGATGAGCCCGCTCAAATGTCCACAGGATTTCCAGAAGGCATCTGGGAGAAAGGCTAGCAGTTCCCAGGGTGGGCCCAGTGCCCCCTTAGAAAGTATGAGTATCACCCCTGCCCAGGGGAAGGCACAATTCCCTTAAAAGTAAGTTCTACTGGCCCTTCATGGAAGTACAGTGAGTGGACCCCGACAGCATTCCAGAAGGGCAGAAAAAGTTTCAGTGAGCAGAAAACAAAGACCAGACAGAAGGACAAGGACATGGGAGAAGGATAGGATCAGAGTTGGTGAGAAGGTAGGTGGAGAGTCTGGGAGCCAGGCCAGAAACCCTGGTAAGGGAAGAAGCCCCCAGCAGAATGAGCTCTTCCTGCCTGATCTGGAACATCCCTAAGTCACAGACTCTCCGAAGCTAGGTTAGTTTTGGATGTCCCAGATGGGTTCAGGGATTAGGTGCTCCAGGTGGGCACAGGGATTAGTGGGCCCTGAGGAATCCAGGGTCCGCTGGAAACAATCGAGACTCTAGGACTGTGTGGTGGGAACAGTGGCATCCCCGGGCCAGCTCTTTTCCCATGGGAGGATTGCTGGCGCCTCTCACCCTTGCTGCCACTAACCAGTCTCTGAGTCCGGACCTGCCACCCCCCAACCTGTACCATCCCACTCCCTGCCTGACTCTGAGCTTTCTCTTGTCCAGATCTTCCCTACCTCTCTGACGCTGCAATGCCCCCCGGTCCACAGTCTTGTGCGCTGCCAGTAACAGGGTTTCCAACAGGATCTTGGTAGCGTTTCTACCTTTCGTCCAGGATGAGCCACTGAGGCCCGGGGCTGAGGAGGTGATGACACCCAGGAGGAATTGGGGAGGAAGGAGAATCCCCAAGCTCACTAGTTAGTGATCACTGGGCACGCAGTCTGGTTAGTGACTCCCGGGCATGCGCTCTGGTTAGTGGCCCTTGGGCATGGAGTCTAGGTAGTGACTCTTGGGAATGCAGTCTGGTTAGAGGCCACTCGGCATGCATATGGCAGTACTGGTGGTGCTCAGTATGCTATGAGGAGTGCTGGGTTGAGGGCTTAACTGAGAGAAGGAGAAGAGAGAGAGTAAGGGCCACCTCTGGTCGTTTCTATGGTACATTCAGGACTCTGAGGATGAAGCCACAGGGACTGGATGTCCTGCTAGCTGGAGATAAGCGTTTTTCACTGAGGGTCTTTTTTTCCCCCAAGAACTTTCTCCCCACTCAAGGCCCCATTTTTTAAAGAGCAGTTTTTCAATGCAAACACCACATTTCATGTTCTTTGGACAGATCAATGAAGCAGCCATTGTAATGGTCCAGGTAGGTAACACCACACACCAAACATAAAGAGATTATTGCAAAAAGCAGGACAAAGGCAGTGTCTGAGAAAAGGAGATTAAAAGCAATCAGCTGCAGGCGGGAGAGGGGAGCTCCTGAGAGATGAAAGATATGGCACTCACATGTGACGTGGGGTTCCTGCCTTCCCATCTCACCAAAGGAAGAGCAAGGAGAACGTCACAGCCGTGCCCGTCACAGGCAGGGAGGGGCAGCGACAGCGATTCAGCCAAGGCTCCTGCCAAGTCAAAGTGAGTATAGACGATGCCGGTGCCATGCATCCTCGATGCAGAGAAAAAGGCACAGGAGCACAGGAGGCTTGGAAGGCCCACTCAGTTTTGGAGAAGATTAGAAAGCAGAAGAATGAAACTGAATGCCATATTTTTTAAAGCCCATCTTTGAAATTAAAACACAAAAGAACAACTCTTTCTACTGATAGATGAAGAAGAGGTTCTTCAAACAGGAAACTGCCCTAGATGGCTTAGGTATTTGATGATGACTGATTTAAGAGGCAGGGTCAGGATGGAAACACATCTTAAGGTGAACAAGGAAAGGGGAAAATAGGATTTGCTTTACAACATTTTAGTTGACACACAATGCCAGGAATTCAGACCAGATGTAACAACCTAAAATTGGAGGCATTTGGGAAGTGGCAAGCATTCCCTAGGTGGGGGTGGGGAGGATCCTACCCCAATTGCAGGATTGAGCACAAAAGCTTCCTGTTTCTCTTGCAGTTTCTGCATCCATTCTGCTACTTGTCAGAATGTCGAACGCCAGTCTTCAATGGGGTCATTTCTGGGGCCCACAGAGAGACAGAGGTGGGGAGATAATCTGTGAGGATCTCAACGAAGGGCTTCAGATGGGAGTCAGGATCAAAGACCACATTGAGATTGGGGTCCAAGGACAACAACCTCCTAGAGAGGTGTGCTTTAGAGCTCTTAGGGGCGCTGTGTCCCTGAACCCCAAGGACAAGGGTTTGTAAAACATTCAGCGATTTAATCCCAGAGCATAGCCAACTCTCAAACCTAAAACTCCAGCCTGAGACCAGAACTTTCTTGTATCCTGGTCCTTGCACATGTTCCACTGTCATGACCATACTACCCACACTCTCTGTAGGCCCCTGGAGGAGTACCTATCATCAGAATGTCAAAATTGCCACCTTATTTTCAGTCGTAGGGTCCATCAGAAGCCCTTCCCATTCCCGGAAATATATTAGGGAAATCTCCCCAAATAGCAAACCCCTCACTACATGAGGGACAAGACAACAGTTCCTCCTGAAGGAACCCAATTACAAGGTATGAGGCATAGCACCTAACAGTTGGCAAACATACCTTTAATAAATGAATCCTGAAGAAAACAATGTGCTAATGGGACAAGAGAGTAACAATCTTGTTGGCTGCGTAGGTGTAACCATGGAATCTCTGAAGAATGGGGATCTTCGGTAGTTGATCTCTGCTTGTCAATTCTGCTAGGGGATAATTAGCAAATCACCTATTGTGGCAGGAGCTCAAAGAGTTACCTTTGAGTTCTCCCTAACCACCCCTAATCATCCCATCCCTGCAAAAGTTCTACCCCTTCTTGAACTATTTTTACATTTTTTCATATGTATTTCTTCGAGGGCAAACAAGTTTCACATATTACATACCCATCGTGTTAAGTGTTTCCTATCATTTGTCCTCAAACTACTTCTGAAACTCCTCTCCCAGAGAGAGGAGACAGTGTTCACTGGGTGGTTTAAAACCGAGATTCTTAAACTTGGCTAGTCATCAAAATCACCTGGGGAGTTTTGTTTGTTTGTTTTTTAAACTACCCATTTCTGAGTACCACGCCCACCCTGAGAATCAGCTTCAGCAGTTCTGGAGAGGAGCCCAAAAATCTGTATTTTTAAAATGCTTCCCAGACGATTCTGAAGATCAGCCAAGTTTGGGAGCCACTGATTTAAGGAACAACTGGAAGATCTCCACGCCTACATTGTTTGAAATCCTTCATTTCACTTAGTCACAGTGCCTGAAATTAGCATCATTTGCCGCAGATACATTTTTGGTGAAGGAGAGTCCTCCATTAAAAGGATCAGGGTTAAAAGTATCTCAGACTCATTTATATGTTCATACGAATTACACTACAAGCCTGGAATCTAGGAGTTGAGAAAAGGGCCTCAGAAAAGAACCCAGCTGTCCCTCCCTCCAAGACCACCATTGAATGTGCAAAGCTGCTTTTGAGGAATCAACAAGCCTTCTCTGGAATGCTCCAGAGAAGGAAGCCTTCAGCTTCATCAGGGCGTCCACTCCAAAGGTTAATTTACGGAGTTCCCCAAACCTGCCTGTGCACCAAAATCTCCAGGGATGTTTTTAAAAAATAGATATTTCGGGGCCTTACCCCAAACCAACAACATCAGAGCTCTCACACAAGGGGCTAAGAATCTACTTTCTTATTGCTTTAACACTCTCAAGGCAGCACATTCACAGAACCACCTGAGCACTATTGGTTTCCTCTGCTGACCTTCTCTGAGATCAAAGTGGCCATTCACCTAGAGAATAAGAGGGAGGTGATTTGGTGGCACAGAGTTCTCAGGAAAGGGGAACCGGGTGAGGGATTTGAGTAGCCAGAGGGGACTGAAGGGGTGCCCAGAATGACAAAAGAGAATGGATGCTAAAATAAGGGAGCTGGGCAAAGGGAGTCAGTACCCAACACTCCTTTGAAAAGACACTTGAAGGAAAGTACAGAACTTTGTGGTACGCATTTCCCTGACCCTATTCTATCTTCTAGCCCTTGTTTTCCTTGCTTCTTCCCTCCCTGTTTTGAATGTATCCTTTATTGAATTTTATGTGGTCTTTGTAAGCTGCTTTTAATCTTTTCTGAAACAAGAGAATAAATCAACCAACTGACCAAAAACACAAAAATAAAAACCAAAATTCATAAGCTTAGGGACAGTCTATATTTACTTTAATATTCTGAGATGTGATTAATGAGACCATAAAAACCGTGCCCTCACCTTTGTGGATTTTGGCAGGGTTCCTCTCTGCCTCCCCCTGGGGGGTTGGCCAATCATCACCATTCATCACGGAAGGCTCACCTGGCCATATTCACGGGGTTGAAACCGACCAGGACTGGCAAGAAGATGGTTGGGTTATCCATGCAGTAGTCCATCTGGCCTGCCACAAAGGGAGCCTGATGGTAGGGAGAGAAAAATAGGCATGATGAGAGGGGTTACTCTAGTGTTGCCCAAGGCCCATGTGCATCAGAATCCCCCAGAATGCTTGTTAGAAACGCATATTCCCAGGCCCAGTTAAGATCTACTGGATCCACATTTGAAGGGAGAGCCCAGGGCCTGTATTTTTAACAAGATCCCCCAAGGATGTCCTCTGCACGGTAAATTTTGGAAACTACTCAACTAAATTGTATGCTCCTTAAGGTCAGTGTCCTGCCCTCCTTGTGTGCCTCCTTCCACATCTGGCATCGCTGAACTCGTTTCTGTTTAGTGAATTGTTAGAATCAGAGAGCTGCAGTTGTGAGGGAAAATTTGGGTCACCTAGGCCAGTGCTTCTCAAACAGGCTACCTGGGAATCTTGTTAAAATGCAGAGTCAGACGCAGTAGGTCTGGGGTGGGACCTGAGATTCTGCATTTCTAGCAAATCCCAGGAGATACTGATGTCGCTGTGTGAAGACCATACTTAAGTAGCAAGGGACTGGTCCAGGGGTCAGCTCTTTCTATAAAGAGTGAGAGAGTAAGTATTTTAGGCTTTGTGGGCCCTATGATCTCTGTGCAATACTCAACCCTACCGTTGTAGGGTGAAGTAGTCATAGATATTACGTAAACACAAACAGCTGTGTTTCAATAAAACTTTACTTACAAAAACAAGCAGTGGCAGGATTGACCTGCCAGTGTAGTCTGCTGACCCTGGGACTAGTCCATCTATCTTGGTTATTGAACAGATTGATACACAGGTATTCTGAAATAGGATCCTTTTCCCATTGTCCCACATTCATACAACTGGATCTTAATTAGTGAGAGTAAAATCAAAATTCCTTATGCAAACCCTCTCTGTTGTCTAGCACCCACTTCATCAATCTATTTTCCATTCTATTCTATTCCCACTTCCTTTCTCCCCATAGGATAGATCCACCCAGCCTGTCTTCACACTCACAAAGAGTCTCACCGAAATACCAGTGACAATCACCCTCTTCTTCCCAGCAGCCACCTAGGAGAGGAGGATGGGTGAAGCAGTGCCACCAGGAGGATTCTAGGATGCAAACCTATCGTGTGGGAATGTCAGGGGCAGGACTGGGGAAGGGAATGGGCTTTGGCTAGATAGGGGCTTTCGTGTCATCACGAGAAGGAACAGAGGTCTCTGGTTGACTCTTAGTGGAAGACACAGACCTTTTTTAGTTCCTCAATCCTGTGCAGAGCACTATCTTCTGTCCCCTCCCTAGATGCCACCACAGACCTAAGAGGACAGACTCAAGGTCAGTGGCACTGGTTTGGAAGTAGAAGCCTATGGTATATTAGGGCAGGCTGCTTTGAGAGAAGGGAATGAAGGGAAAGCTACCATTGACTGAACACCTACTATTTGCTTGGCACCATAACAGATACTCTATAGGGCTGAAAAACTCAAATACCTACAAAGGCAAGTCATATAATTTAAGTATGTGAAGGCAATAAGTGTAAGGCAATAAGAAACAATGGGGACCAAAGCAAACTGGATACAATCTCCATCTAAAAGCCTTAAAATTAAATTTATAAAAAACACTATCCAGGCCAAGCATATTCATAGACCAACATAGACCAATTTGGCTTACCTGTCACCTCCTGCAATGAGGTAGGTATAAAGAGGTTTCTGTCCTAAACCTTTCTGACAAAGCAAAGGAGCAATTATCTTGGATTTTCGACACCTAGAGAGTAGAGACTGTGTAAGGATTCTCTCAGGCCAGTGCTTAAGCCAGTACTGCCTGGAAGCTGGCACTTAAAACGCTACTTGCAGATGATTGATTGGGGGTGGGGGGAATGGGCTGTAGAGACAGAAGATATGGGGCTCCATATGGAGTGGGTTCCAGTTTGGAAGAGAGGGAGCCAGGGATAGAGGGGTCCACCTAGGAGCTTAGCTATGATTAGCTTTGTGGTCCTGAGGGTCACCCCAAGAAGGCAGAGGGAGGAAAATCAGGGATAGGGGCACTCACCAACATGAAGAATGCCATCCTGCCAGAGATGCCCCCTCCACTCAACACCACAAGCACCCCCCCCCCAGGCTCCTGAGAAAGGAAAAATGCCTACGTCGTCATGGCCTAGCTCAGGTTGGGGGAAGCATGTTCTTTTCTTTGTCAGTAGCAGAACAGGAATTAGGGAGTCTTCTTAAGCTTCTTATGACAAAAGTGAACAGAACATAAGCAGTACGATGTGGCAGAAAAAATCCTGGATTTGAGAAAGAAACTTCAGTCTGCTCCTAACTCTGGCTTAGCTACTTATTCAAACCCTTACTTATTCCAGAAAGGACCGAGCAGCTTGGTCATCAACCAACCAATCAATCAATCAATCAATAACACAGCGCTACCCAGCAATTATTAGCTGGATATATTTGGGCAAGCTACTGTGATTATTCTTTGTTTTCCTATCTGGAAAAAAAAAGGAGACAATCACACTAATTTCACAGGTTTTTGCAAAGGTAATGAGTGTGAAAGTACATGGTCAATTATAAAGTATTATGCAGATAATAGTTATTTTAATTACTGTGGATTAATAACATGACAATAAAGATCCCAGGGGGAGGACTGGGAGAAAGGAGAACTGAGATCTAGCAAAATGAGAAGTGGAGGCCAAAAAAAAAAAAAAAAAAAAAAGAGAAAGGTGGAGAGAACAGAAGTTCAGGTGGGAGCAGATGAAGAGTCAGTACCTTCAGCACTTCCTGAACTTTTCCAGCCACTTGTACCATGGTGGTCAGAACTGATTCACTATACAGTCACTATAGGCAACACGCAGGAATCAGAAGCCAAGAAAAAGAGAGTGGATTGGGGTGGGGGAGAATGAATGTTGTGGTGGAGGGGCTCTCAGGGTTTCAAATATTAAGGACTATGGTCTCAGAGAGCAGAGGTTAAGGTGCGGTTGGGGTTGGCATCTCTATTTTCAGTGTCCAGGGAATGGGTCTGGGTCACCTGGTACATGGGCATGACTTGCCCCTTCTCCTGGAAGATCTCAGCATCACATTGCCCCAGCAATCGAACAATTTGTTCAGTATCTGCTCTGTCCAGGTCCTGGGTCAGTGGGTTTGACTTCTCTGTGATTGGCAGGGGCTGCCTCATACCCAGACAACTAGAGGGAAGGGGGCACAAAGATACAGGCAGGAAGCCGAAGCTTCATTCATGCCTGCTGATCCAGAGGTGGGAGTGGCAGCAGGCGCAGTACTTGGACACGGACAAACACACACACACACACACACACACACACACACATGCGCACACACACATCACCCAAGGATTTAGCCTGCACTTGGTACTCTGGGCCTATAAGGGAAAAAAGATCAGGAAGGAAGATGGGAAGGAGGAGGGAGAGAACAGAAACCAAGAGTGGAGGAAAGTCCAGAAAAGAAATGATTCTAGGAATCAATGCAGAAGACCAACATGGAGAAGGGGGTCTCACCTCCCACTTGCCAGGCTCTGGGGTCTCAATAACATGTTGAAACCGTTTTGTGCCCGGCATGGTTGCACGCTGTGGACACCCTGTCATGCCTGCCTCTTCAGCCACGCAAACCTTTCCGTCACACTAACTCAGCTTCCAGCTGGCAGGGCCTTATCTGAGCCACAGTGATGATTAACCCAAGTACCCTGGCCTCTCTGAGTACCACCCCCTCTGAGCACCTCTTCCTGCACCCTTTCCTGGTCAGTAGGCCCCCAGCCCACTCGTCACCTCAGGGGAGCTCCTGGGGTCCTTCTTTGCATGCATGCAGACTGCCCAGCCTCTGCTTTGCCCCTAAAGAGGAAACCTGAGGTTCATTACCCTTGCCCTTTGGACACAATGACCTCTTCTCTGGATGACCTGGAGGCTGGAAGTGCAGGACAGTACTCAGGCTCAGGCTCAAGCCCAGGGCAGTGAGAATCCCTGAGCAAGAGTGCTCTGGGACCAGGATGCATCAGGAGGCCAGAGATCAGGATCTTCAGGGACAGTGGAGGTCAGAGGACCTGGACCATAGCTTGATCACATGCTCAGAACACCCAGTCCTCCCTCTTGCCCCATTTCACTCTTTCATCTCAGAAGGAAGGCAACAGAAGCTTCAGAGCCCCAGGGGGACACACACTGAACTGGATATTACAGGAGAAAGTGCCACAGAAATAGAAATGCTGCAATGAGAATTAGAAACCAAAGTATCTGCCCTAAATACATTAGCCAACATTTATTTACACTGAACAATGCACTTTTCACATATCTTATCTCATTGGATACATTAACACTAAGAAGATTGTATTGACACCCTCATTTTTCAGATGGTGAAACTGAGGCTCAGATAAGTGTTTTGCTAAAGATCACATAGCTGACACAATTGGAACTCACACCCAGGTTGTCACTCCAGATCTCATGAAATAACTTAAGGATTTACATGTTTGTTGAATGAATGAAGTAACTAACAGATTAAGTACAAATTACTGATAATCTCTCACTCACATAGTGTTGTAAGATTTATAAAGACATTTCCCAACATTTTCTCATTCGATCTTCCCAACAGCCCTATGAAGTTCTGGACCCTCTGATTTGCAGGTAGGAAACCTGAGACTTAGGTGACCAATTTCTCCATGCCAAGCAGTAAGTGGCAGAGCTAAGACAAGAACCATAGGTCGCTCGCTGCTCTTTGGATTTCCCCCTATACACCCAGCAATCTTAATAATCACTGTATCTCCAGCTCTTAACATGCCAGAACACATAGGTGACGCTCAATAAATATTTGTTTAATAAGTGAAAGAATGAATGAGAGAGTGAAGAGAATCAATATCAGATTATGAATGGGGAAGAGATTTAAAAGCTGACGCAGTCTACAAGTAGAAGATTGTTAAAACAATTATCTCCGCCACGCTATCCCTCCCGCACGGGAGGTGCAATTCCTTCTCCCAACTTGGCTAATTCCAGCGCGGGCGGGAGGGGCCCTCCCAGGTGCAGGAGACCCTCGCACCTGCGCCTCTCCCCACGCCCCCCGCAGGCTCCAGGGCCGGAGCCGGGATCGGAGGGATGGGGACCCGGGAGGCCGCCAATGGGAGGGTCGTGGGAGGAGCCCCGGGAGAACGGGGTCGAAGGGGGGGGCAGGAGGGGGATGACGGCTGCGAGAACCCCAGCGGGGCGGGGCGGGCCGGCACGTCCCGGTCGGGCTGCGGCGGAGCGAGCGGGGCCAGCTCTGCAGAAGGCGGCGGCTGGCTGGCCGGGACGGTCACATCCCGCTGCAGGGGCCGGCGGAGCAGCCGCACTGCCTCCCGCACCCGGACTCAGGCCAGCGGCCAGGCCGCGCCGGCACCGCCCCCTGCTCGAGGACAGACTACGCGGCCCGTCCGAGCTCTGGGGGCCCCGCAGCCCCGCGGCCGGCTCCCGCTACGCCTCCGCTCGCCCTCTGCCCGCAGCTCGGTCCCGCGCTGCCCCCCGCGCCGGGCCCGCGCCGGGATGGGGTAGGGGCAGCGCCACGGAGTCGGGCGATGGGCCGCCCTCTGGGCACCGAGCAGCCCCCCGAGGCCTGACCGATCGCGAGGACCGGCGGAGGTGGGTGTGGGCAGGGCAGAGCCGCGCACCCGGGTGCCCGGGTGATGCGGGGGCGGAGAAGACGTGGAGGGAAGGGGGGCTCCCGGGATGCTGTGGGCGGTGGGGAGCCCGGGAGAGCTGCTGCCACCGTGTGTTCTGGGCAGTCCTTGACCCCCCCCCCCCCCGCAACTCCTGCCACCTCCAGGAGCCCCGCCTGGATGTCAAGCGGATGCCCCAGTGCCTCCCAGCGGACTCGGTGGGGACCATGGCTTCGCTGATGCCCCTCTCCCCATATTTAAGCCCCACGGTCCTCCTGCTGGTCAGTTGTGACCTGGGCTTTGTGCGAGCAGGTGAGTAAAGGGGGCGTGGGGTTAACCAGAGCTTGTGGATGGTACCTGTTAACCTCTTAACTCACTGGCACCCACAGACCGGCCTCCCTCTCCTGTGAATGTGACAGTCACTCACCTCAGAGCCAACTCGGCCACTGTGTCCTGGGACGTCCCAGAAGGCAACATCGTCATTGGCTACTCCATTTCCCAGCAAGTATGAATCACCCTTCTGCTCCCTCAACCTGTGTCCTTGGATCTCTGAACATTCCTTCAGTTACCCCCACCCCAGAACTAAGCTCCCCTCCCAATGGTGGAGGAAGCTGGGACCTGGTGTTCCCTCAGTCTCAGGCTGCCTTTTTCACCCTACTCCGTGGAGTGCTTGGATGTTCAAGAGTCCTGGGACTGGTGTGAGACTGCCTTCCTGTCCCATCATCTCCCTGCAGAGACAGAATGGCCCTGGACAGCGTGTGATCCGGGAGGTGAACACCACCACTCGGGCCTGTGCCCTCTGGGGCCTGGCCGAAGACAGTGACTACACAGTGCAGGTCAGGAGCATCGGCCTGCGGGGAGAGAGCCCCCCAGGGCCTCGAGTGCACTTCCGAACTCTCAAGGGTTCTGACCGGCTACCCTCAAACAGCTCAAGCCCAGGTGAGGGTCTCAGCTATTCTCCATTCCCTAAACTTTGGATTCTCTGGCTTTTTACCTGGCCTTTAGCCTCTTGTTTATTTCCCCAACCAGCAACACTCTAGCTTAGATGAATAAAAGGATGATTTAATTCATCATACTGCCAAGAAAGGAAGGAAAAAGGTTGGCAGGGGACTGGATATAGACAGGCTGATAATGAATCGTTTGGGGGAAGGGCTTTTAAGCTTCCTTTTACCCATCCTCAGTTCACAGCCTCCACCGCAGCCTGCGTGAGTACTCGCATGCAGCCC